ATGGGACAGGACACAAAGGTAAATGACAATGAGAAAACAGGAGCCTCCTTCCTCGGATTAAAATCCATTCAAGGGAAGGCAGGCCAGGACCCTGTTTAAAAGGCATGGCTCATTGCAGAGGGGCAACGGAGGCAGCAATAAATGCAAACATGCCCTGGAAGTGGAAAGATACAAGAGAGCGATGCAGGGAACATAATTTCAATCAACACTTCTTCTGTCATCACACCTGCCATGAGAAATACTTGCAGCAGAATACAACAAACGATTGCCAGAAAGGTATTTCCCTGCTGTGGATTTTCGTTCCTCTCTGGACCTGTCTTTAGTTTCTACGGACAAAATAACTGTCCGGGTCATTGCTAAGCAGACCTACCTGCCGAGGAGCAAAACATTCCAGTGCTGAGTACTAAGAAGGCCAACATCAGCCGGCTCACATGTAGCCCAAACTTCTTGCACACCGCCCTAAGGAAGCAGGAGAGAATTAGATACCACAAAAACATCCTCAGAACGTAAAAGAACAGTACCCAGTGCATGCAGAACCACAAACAATCCATGGAGCACCCTGACAGCTTTAAGGTGGGCAATTCTCATTACTCAGCCACCAAAGGCAACCCAAGGAGCTGCGTAACCGCCTCTGGCCTGGGACTTCAGATCTCGTAAGTTACACTAGTGCAAAACTCTAGAAGAGACTTCGCTTCTACCAGTGTCAGTTGCGCTCGTGCTGATCTCAGGAACTTGGAGAATCTGCACTGCTGTAGCAACATCAACCTAAGATTTTCACCCCTCGCAAAATCCCATTGTGCAAGAAGCCACAGCTCACATTCTTAAAACCGGACTGATGCCAACAGAAAAGCCACGCAAGGTAAGAGTTTGAAAGCCACAAATGAAGAGGCAGCAGGTAAAAATAAAAACCCGTCTTAGACAAGATAACTGTACGTTCGGGCTACTGCTTTTAGTGGACGTAAACACCACTGGCAGATACATTACAGACAGCCACAATCAACGTATTCCACTACGATTCACTATGATGATAAGCAAACGCAGCACCAGTGTCTCCTCCAGCAGAACTCAGTTTACAACACTCCCACACTGCTTGCTGGTGTCAGTGATAAAACGAGTGCAGTCAAGAAAACACTGGAGACGTGGGTGGCAGATCTGAGAACACAGTTTTGCCCTAACAGTGGAATTCTGACCAGTATTTCATTAAGTTATCGTGAGAACACATATTGTCGAGGTTCACTGTGAAGCGGCCCAATTTACCAGACACATCCACACATGAGCTCCAGAGTGTATTTCCCGTGGCAGTAACCGCCTAAGCGTCTCACATCGCTCTAAAACATTCACTGTGGACGGTTTCTAATACTCACTTGTAGAAGTAGAGTTCACAAATGCAGCTCAGGAAGGCCAGGAAGCATCGGAGGAAATAGAAGATAAGAACCTAGGAGACATAGTCAGAGTCTGAACAAGGTTTGCACTGAAGCTTACGCACCTATTACCGCCAAGTCGATCCCAAGAACAAAAGTTCTGAACAGGACGGAGCAAGGTTGGTGGTGGTGAATGATCTTGTAAACCCAGATCCCACACCAATGGATGCTGAAGACGCCAGCAGCTCAAGGCCTAGCCCTCTAACGCTGAAGCCCTTTGCAACGCGGAAAGTGAACGCAGTCCACCGAACTCACCAGAACGACCCCTCTTTTCTTTTGTGCTATGTGGAAAACGTGCCCAGTATGGCAACAGATACCCAAGCAGAATGCACATTCGGTGCTTTTTCTTTGACAATTCTGAGAGCTCAGCTTGCAATATCCCTTGCAAAATACTAATTTAGAGTTTATTGAAGAAAAAAAAATAATCAAAACAGTCATCGACAGCTGGCATAGAAAACAATACGGGCTTCTAAAGCATCAGGATGAAACTCACAGGGGTGAGTGAGAGCCCACGACTGCCAGGTTACTGTCCCCAGGCCTGCACACACCCAAAAGGCCAAGGCGCTACCAGCCCCTCTGGGACACCTTCTCAATCAAACCAGAGCCTGACAGCATTTACCTGCAACTGTCTGATCACTTTTCCTTGGAGCCCGTTGAGTCGGCTCACAGACCCTTGCAAATCCTTACGGGGAGGTCAGGGTTTGTACATAAATTAATGTGTTGTAAACACAACTCTCTTACCTCTGGCAACAAACAAAGCAGCTGCTCCGCACAGACTAAAGGCATGTTTATGCATCACAAAAGAAGGTTTCACACATCTGATTTACCTTGTTAGTTTGTAGAACTCTAGCGTGGAACAAGGCTGGTAAGGCATGAAGCCACAGGTAAGCATAGGAGCGGATGGCATAGGCTGGAGAGTATTCCCATGTCTGAAACCCCTTTCCATAAACGAGGTAGTGGGTCTACAACGCAGATTGAACACGTAAATAAATATGCATCACACAGAGTAGACAGGTTTGCATTTCCCACCTCTGAATTCTCGAGTGAGAAAATTTCCCTTTGAAACACAGAGACTAGCACAAGGTGCTAGACAACCTGCATTTGCCCAGGCCAACTCCAAATTCCCAAGTATCTTCCAAGGAAAGAGAGCCACTTACTGGTTCCCAATAGTTGAACGTCTCATCACAATCAGAGATGTTGCTTAAGAGAGCTGCGCAGAACCTGGCTGAGATGAGACACTTGAAAGCTGTTGATCCTTCAGGAGCCCAAACTTGTCCTGCTTTGCTCACGGATGATCTAGCCCAAAGGAAAAAAACACAAACATGCACCACGAAGACTCGGTAACAAGATCGAGACCAGCAATGTGACAAAGCTAGGCAAAGCACTGACACGCATATTTGCGTCTCTGTCACGGTGCAAGTCCAGACGAGCCTTTCATTCCCCGCTTTCTTTGGGGGATGCCAGTCCCCTCCCAGGGAAGCGCCACCATCCTCCCTCACCACACCCGAGCAACGGCCCCGAGTGCTCAGCCCACCGCTGCAAGACAGCGCGCCAGGACCTCCCCCTGCTCCCCCCAGCAGCAGAGAGCAAGGCCACGCACTCGCTACCGCAGGCCCGGGAGGAGCCCCACCGAAGAGAGACCGGGGAGGCTCATCTCCCCAACGCACGCCAACCCGGCTGGGGACCCACCGCGGCCACCCGATGCGGGCGGGCGGGCGGTTCGACG